AGTCTATGCTCGAAAGCAGTTTGCTAGAGAAGAAAGAGAAGGCACGTTGTGGGAATCTCTTGTATTCTATCTCCTGCTTGTTTGTCATCGATCTTTTTACCATCTCCTTTAATTTTTGGCTAAAGACATCAATACCTTCAAATTTGACAAAATGCATTGTACTCCATAGGCAGAGATTTCTGCTAACAGACATCCCTTATGTCAGGGGTGGGGAACGTCCAGAGGGCCCTGTAAGGCCTGTGAAATCATTTGGTCTGGCCCTGCCAAGGCATTAGGGGGGAGTTAAACGTTTGACCAAATAGAGCAGGCTAATTTTTAAGTTGATAATTTTGTATGACACAAGAATTATGTTATAAACATCCAAATGGCTTTTGGCAGAAAAAAGGTTCCCCACCCCTGCCTTATGTAGAGAATTGAGACAGGATTATATGACCTCCACATCAGTCTTTAGGGTGGTCCTTTTGGCCTGAGTGGTGCCAACTGGCTAATAAAAAATTGGTGATAAGTCAAAGGAAGGGAAACTGATTGGAGAGGTTCCTTCTGTTAAGGTCAGGCGGCTGAGGATGACCAGGGTAGTGGATCATGGGATCATGTGGTAACAACTGCAGAGCCTGGACATGAACTGATGGTACATAGTTAGATGTGGAGCCCTAGATTCAGGTTCTGTTGTTGTTTTTAATACATTTTTATTGATTTCAGAGAGAAAGGAAGAGAGGGACAGGAACATCAATAAGAATCATTGATGGGCTGCCTCCTGCATACCCCCTACTGGGGGTCGAGTCTGAAACCTGGGCATGTGCCCTGACTGGGAATTGAACCGTGACCTCCTGGTTCATAGGTCAAGACTCAACCACTGAGCCACACTGGCTGAGCATAGATTCAGGTTGTATTCACAAGGGGTGTTCACATGGTCCATGAACCAGAAATGACAGTCTCTTATATTATATACAGTTGAGAAGTAATTTCATGTGTTATTTGAAGCAACCATCATGTCAGCCCAGATACTTACTTCTTAATCATTTAAAAATATGTAAACTTCCCCTGGCTGGTGTTGTTCAGTGGTTTGAGCACCAGCCCACGCACCAAAGGGTCATGGGTTCAATTCCCCATCAAGGGCATGTACCTGGGTTGCAGGTTCAATCCCTGTCCCAGTTGGGGTGTATGCAGGAGGCAACCAATCCATGTGTCTCTATCATATTGATGTTCCTGTCTCTCTTTACTCCTCCCTTCCCTCCGTCCCTTCCACTCTAAAAATCAATGGAAAAAATGTCCTCAGGATTAACAGAAAAGTAATGTGTAAACTTAAGCGCAGTGATTGTGATCTGCTTGGGTGTCATATACCTCTGGGTACTGTCACTTACGGTTAAGGGCCTTTGGGTTTTCCCCCTTTTTCTGTTGTAGTATTATGTCTTTCACTCTTAGGTCTAGAAACTTTGCTTACAAGGTACTGAAGAACTTGCTGGGAAATCACCGCACTCGGTATAGAGTTACTTTCTTTGAGACTTCTTTTACAGCAACCCATCACATCCAAGTGCTAACATTCTACTGAAATAAAAGTTAGTAATTAGCTTCTCACTCATCAAAGATGATTTATTGACGCTCTACTGTGCCAGGCAGGTTGCTGAACAATATGGAGGACAGAACTAAGCCAGACAGTCTCTGTCACGGATAAGTCAACCCAAACCACCAAAACAATGGTTAGAGCTGACAGAGCCACGCACGTGGCACTGAGAAAGCTCCCGGGTCACTTCACAGCCAGGGCAGGGGAGGAGAAGCTGGGAGTGACACTGCATTGGGTTTTAAAGGAGGGCCAAGAATGGAGTTAGCCTGTGGCTTGGGAGAGGGAGGAGGGAGGAGAGAACATTTGGAGCAGGGAAAAGTCTGAGAGAAGCACAGTAACGTTGCATATAAAATGGTAGAAATATCAGAGGTTTACTTATACAAGTAGTTCCTTTGGGAGGCATTATCTGTCTGAACCAATACCTGGTTTTCTTCCCCTCCTGGCAAAGGCAAGACGACTCTTTACTCTTCAGCCTCTCTGTGATGGGTCAGCGCCTGTGACAGGAGAGTGGAGGCAGAGGTGCTGTGTGACTTTTGGGGGTGACGTTTTCTTGATCTGTCATGTTCCTTGTAGTTTTGTGTTGCTGTTCTCACAGTTGAGGTGGCAGTGACTGTTGGGATTCCTGCCTAAAGGTTTCCTCAGTTTTTTTTTTTTTTTTTAATATATTTTATTGATTTTTTACAGAGAGGAAGGGAGAGAGATAGTTAGAAACATCGATGAGAGAGAAACATCGACCAGCTGCCTCCTGCACATCTCCTACTGGGGATGTGCCCGCAACCCAGGTACATGCCCTTGACCGGAATCGAACCTGGGACCTTTCAGTCCGCAGGCCGACGCTCTATCCACTGAGCCAAACCGGTTTCGGCGGTTTCCTCAGTTTTTGAATGGGAAGACTTGTTCCACTCTTATCGCTCCCTCTTGTGGCAGAATCCTTAATCTCTTACATCTTTTCTTATAACTCACGATGCTGACTGCTGGAAACTTGGTTTGTTTTCCAGAAAGCGGTGCTATAGCTCGTTTGCAGTTTCTTCCTGGCCTGCACACCCTGGTGCTGCTGGAGAGAAGTGGATTTTTCTAGTTGCGACCCACATTTTTCTGAGAGCACTGATCAGTGGATCTGCTTTTTGCTCCCGCACGCAGGGGCATGTACTAGTACAAGGCTCCAGCCACAGAGTGGGAGCGGGTGCGGGTTTAGCACTTGGGGTGCTGGGGGTACCCACGCACCCGGTGGGGAGATCGAGTGGGATATTCCAGGGGCTTGCGGACGGACTTCCAGATGAAGTCCTGAGAGGTCAGCAGGACCCGTGTTCCTTTAATGCGCTTTGACATTCTTCTCTGCTTCCTTTACTTTCCTTTTCCTCACCTCAGTAACGGAAGTGCGGCCTCAGTGCGCTGGGTGCTGCTGGAGAGAAGTGGATTTCTCTAGTTGCGACCCACACAACTGGGACAGACGGGCATCCACTCACTGCTCTCCACCTCCTTGCGGGACAGGTTGCCACCAGCGGGCAGGCAGCTTAGTCCCATGCAGCTAGGTGTTGGGTATGTGACTGTCAACAAGAGGCGGTGTTTCCTTGTTATGTCCCTGTTCTAAAGTAACTAACACACTCCATCACTTACTTTTACACAAATTTAATAGTATTACAAAGGAGAAAACTGGTTTGTTTGTTGGCTTGAAGACTAGAACTAAATATTATTACAGATTTTCATTTATGAACAAAAAAGTTTAAGAAAAATGGCATGTTTTGAAAGACACCATTTACCCACAATAATATTTAAATATTCTGTAATTAGCCCAACTGGTGTGGCTCAGTGGTTGAACGTAGGCCTATGAACCAGGAGGTCACAGTTCGATTCCTGGTCAGGCCACATGCTGGGTTATGGGCTGGATCCGCATTGGGGGGTGTGTAGGAGGCAGACGATCAATGATTCTCTCTCATTATTGATGTTTCTATCTCTCCCTCTCCCTTCCTCTCTGAAATCAATAAAACAAATTTAAAATATTCTATAATTATAAAAAAATTAGATAAAACAATTAGTGATATTCTTCTTTTATCTTCATTTCTAAAGAAGAAAATGCTCCAGAAAAAGAGAACTGACTGAAGACTACAGGAATATGTTTGATGGTATACTGGTAAAAACCGAATGTTTTATTTTAAGAAATACCTTTACCCTCAGTTAACAAAAGAGCTTCAAGAGTTCTTCACTTTTCCTTTGACATTAAGGGAATAAACATGGTCCTGCTTAAAAGAGGGATGAAAGAGGGCAAGAAGACATTTAAATATTTGGGGAAATATGGGGTTGACAATGCAAACAAACGAAGGCTTAGTTTGCTCTCATGTATTTGTTGTTTTGTTACTGCTTATATAAGCAATTTATAAGGGAAAGGAGCTTTTTAAAGTCTAGTAAAAAGTGGTAGAAATTTTTGGCAATTTTTGTTCTTAATTATTAGGCAATGCTTCCATATTAGAAAAAATAAGTTCCTCTTATAGCTTTAAATTGATAATCACAATTTATTTAATAATGATTTCATATTATGGATTTAAGTATTGCATTTTATCTTAGCAGACTGCAATATACAAGTAGTATAGAATGGGACTTATATGTATGTGTTAGCAGGAAATAAAGGTGACATAATCACTGTTAATGATTTTCACTTTTAAAAATGCATTTTAAAGAAATATATTTCTGTCAAACCTAAGTGGATGCCTTCATAGCCCAAAGAAATGCAATTTAACTCAAATTTTTAACAAGTTATTAAAGGAAATGTATGATATAAATTAAAATGCATCTGAATAAGTTCCAAATATACTTATTATTAAATATAAAGATGTTAGCTCTGGTACATAAGAAAATATTTACAACTGATAAAAAGCAGATTGTAGAATATACATGTTCTATGTATAAAAATAAGTAAAATATTTTATAGTCCAGACCCAGGGATCTTTTCTAAGCAAGGTTTTATCCATGCAACTGTATGACAATACCGTCTCCCTAGTGTTACTGGAGCACATGCATGCATGGAAGAGATCTAACAACAATCCTGATTTAAAGCTCATACTGCCTTTTTAGGGCCTGTACATCTTCTAAAGTAAAATGTTTGTTTGGTGTGTCCGAGAGGTCATCAAAAAGCTGTTCAATTTGCTCCTTCTGGCCCTTGCTAATTAGGGTCAACATCATCTGAAAGAAGGAGAAAAATTACATTAGCATAAAACATTAACATGTCAAAGTTGTAGAAAGCCTGTAAAAATCAGTCTCTTTCAATGAGATCCTCTGCCACTTACCTTAAACCTTTCTGCTTTACTCAGATATAGAAGATGCTGATATACCAATGAGGGATCTTTACCAATAAGTTCACTTTTCAGAGACTGAATGAGGAGGAGGAATAGATCCCCTTCGAGTTTGTTACTCAGCAACGCTGGCAGATCTTTCGGCTCAGTGATGGCTAACAGATGTGCACAGGCTGCTTTATCTTTTCGAGCACTGACAGCGTTCATCACCTGCCCGAATTCATAGGCATTGTTGGGCTTGGAGATGGGCAGTTTCTCGTAGTATTCTGGTGGCCCACGGTTGGTGGCCCCCTCAGAGGCAGGGCAGCACGTGCAGACCTCCTCGGGGGTCCTTCCAAGCTCTTCATGGCCTTCATTCACCTTCACAAGGAAAAAAAATTACACCCTGACACAAACAGCCACTGCACACATCCCACGTTACATTTATTAAAATGGGAAGGAACTGAAAAACACAAGTACACTGTATTTAGTCAAGTTCTTAAGTGAAAATGTGTAGTCTGTAATCATAAAATCTACTTTTTGAGGAAGAGAAGTTTTAAGGTATTAGTATTCATTCATAAAAGCATTTTTTAAATTTAAAATATTTTTAACATTGAAAAAAATTTTTTTAAGAATAGTTTGTTGATTTCTAGAGAGGAAGAAAGGAAGAAGGAGAGAGAGAGAGAAACATCAATGTGAGAGAGCGCAAAACATCAATCGGTTGCCTCTTGCACACCCCCTACTGGGGATCGAGCCTGCAACCCAGGCATGTGCTGGAATCAAACCAGTAACCTTCTGGTGCATGGGATGACACCCAACCAACTGAGCCACACGAGCCAGGGCTCTTTTTATAATTTTCCATGAATAATGCTGCTGTATAAAAGAAGACCTATAACAACTTCATCTCTTTTTCATAACTTTTAGTTATTTCTTTACATTTAATAGAGAAGTAAACTTATTTTTCAATTCTCTTAAAAGAGTTTTCTTCCATCCTTAAAGGAAAAACACTTCCTGGCCTCTCACATTTTAGCTTCTTACTCTTAGTGGAAATGTAATATGATATATTAGTATTCATGAATACACAGGAATTCATGATTGATATTCACTGAAGGCAAAAGCAGAAAGCTATATCGCACAAGACACCAATTTAATCTGAAATCAAACGTAGTCCAAAAATCTCTGAGGAGGCCAGTCTTAGAGTGCTAAAAGGTCTGAATCAAACTGGAAAATCTCTATGGCATGTGGCTTGCCAGGACCATTGAAACAAAATCAGTCCTGTCAGCATTTTCTGGGTCTACCCTGAAGCAAAGCTCAGTGGCCACAGGCTCCCAGCACAGTCTGGCGTGGAAGCAATACAAAACACAGGCCAGACAGGGAGGGAATGGGGGATAGGGGCAAAGAACGGAAGAACCTAATGCAGACTCCCAATACCGTCCATGGACCAAACCAGGAAAAGACACAGGCTAAACCACGGCACAGGAGAAGTTTGTCTTTACAATCGGTTTAAATTTCTTCATTGGGCATCAGAATAAAAAAACACAAAATTTAAAAGAAATTGGTAGAATTCATAAGAACATGACCTTAGAATCCAATATAACATCCCCCAAAAAGTACTTTCAAAGATAATCAAACACAAATACCTCTTGAATCTCAATTTTCCTTCTCTCCTTTTCTTTGTTGAGTGATGCTGCCTGATCCTTCACATTAAGGAATCTGGTCACCTCTTCCAGTTCCATCTTGGCCTCCACAATACTTGAGTCTAGCCGGAGAACTGTATTGAGATCATTCAAACTATTCTGATAATCCTGCAAGTAGAAAGGGCAGAGGCTGTCATTTTCACAGGTAACAGGAGAAGGGCACAGATCAGTCCGGGGGAGGGAGAAGGACGCTCGGGAGTGCACAGTGGCACAGTGGGCTCCTGTCAGCACCACGACTAGAAAGCTGGGCCTTCAGGGTAACACTTGGGCTAAATTATTATAACCCATAACACAGTGAGCATCTATAATAAAAGCATAATATGCTAATTAGACTGGACAGCCAAACAACCTTCCGGACATCCTTCTGGACGAAGCCGCTGCTGCGAGGGCTGAGGCAAGCCGCCGTGACTGCGAGGGCCAAGCCCCTTGCATGACTTTGGTGCATCGGGCTTCTAGTCCTATATAATAAAAGCCTAATATGCAAATTGTTTCCTTGGCCAGGAGTTCGACTGGAGGGGATAGGGGGTGCTGGGCGGCCAACCTCCTGCGGCCCCTCTCCCCAGCTGGCCTGGCCCCGATTGGTCCAGGCTGCCCGGACCCCACCGTGTACAAATTCGTGCACTGGGTCTCTATAAGAGACAGCACACAGAACCCGGAGTTAGAAGACTCAGGTTAAACTCTCTATCACCATGACCTCCACAGTCCCTAACACACGGTGGGCACATGCTGTCGGCTAAATAAGTGAAATAACGAACATCCTCAGATTAGCACCTACTCGCGGTGACACCTGAACAAGATCCTACTTAACCTTCCTGAGCTTCAGCTTTTCTTATCGTTAAAGTGTGAATAACAGGAGCTTTTCTATTCTAGTTTCCCCAAGGCTCTACCAAGTAATTAATGAATTAAAATAATATACGAGTGGTTTAAACCTATAAAGGGCTAAACAAATGTTAGCTGCTACCAGATTATCTGTTCCATAAAACCCATCAAAGTTTTATACTGTTCAAATAGGCTAGAGTTGACATTTATTCTCCCATAAAGAGTCAGACAATACATTGGAGAGGTCGAGGGGAAAGAAAAGAAATCTAAGCTTACCAAACACAGCATGGAATCCGGTAGTAGAGACATATACCACAACATCAGCCACTGTGGCAGGCCACATTCCAGAACTACAGACTAGACCCACAGTTTTTTATTGGTTGATGCTTTTTAAATTTTTTAAATATATTTTTATTGATTTCAGAGAGGAAGGGAGATTGATTGGCTGCCTCCTGCATTTAAATGTGTGTGTGTGTGGTGTGTGGTGTTTAATCCTCAGCTGAGGATAAGTGTATTGATTTTAGAAAGAGAGGAATGGAGAGAGGGAGAGAGAGAAGCATCACTGTGAGAGAGAAACATTGATTGGTCGCATCACATATGCTCTCTGACTGCACCCTTGACCGGGGATCGAACTCACAACCTGGGTATGTGCCCTAACCAGGAATCAGACCTGCGATCTTTCGGTGTACAGTGACTCAGATATTTTCACTCTGCTTTCTGGGGAAAGAAAGAAACTCACAAAGAAACTGAACAAATCTTGTCATTTGACTCTAGTAAGACAGGGGTCAGAAAAAGGACATGGGCTTTAGAGTCAAACTGGCCTTGGGTTGGATCTTGGCTCTA